GTCTTTGACCATGCGGGACGGGGGTGTTACATATTTACTGAGGCCCATCAAACACATGGGCCCTTAGGGTCTCTTTTGTCTAGGTTTTCTGTCTATATATATCCTTGTATCCTTTCTTTGTAATACACAAGTTAAAAGCAATAATATAATCCCTAATTACATGGTATCGGAGCTCGGTTTTGTAACAATCACTAGTTTCGCGGATCGAAATTTTTGTTCTTCGATTAGGGTTCTTGTTTTTCTAGTTTCGGTTTTTTCCTTTTGTCGGGATCGGTTTTGCTGGTTGTTTGTGGCTTCGATTTATCCCTGTGATCTGTTCCTCGTGGCTGTTGTTTGCTAACTCTTAGATCTGGTCATGTTTCAAAGATACGGCTAGTAGGGTTTGGTTTTTTTAGGGTTTCTTGTGTAGCAAGGGTCTTGATCCTAGGCATTTTGGTTTACGATTTGCTGCTGTCTGGATCCGGTTGCTGCAGTTTTTTTAATCCAGATCTGGGCGTGTTTTTCTTCCTCACGACTTCAGATCTTGCGTTTGGGTGCTGCTTCCTCGGCTGTTTGGTGCTGCTGTGATTCGGGGCTGTTTTGCTTGATAATTTTGGTCGACAGCAAGCTTTCTGCTGCTTTTTGAGCGACAGCAAGTTTTGCTGCTGCTGTTTGCTTGCTGCCCAAGTCCAAGCTGAGGATTCAATTCGTTTTGCGGCTGTTTGCTTCCGTTTGCTGCAGTTTCCTTGGATCGGAAGTTTTCAGTTCATCGGTTTCTTTGGCACCCTGTGAGTGTGTCGTTCGCTTTCTATTCTTCGTCCTAAGTTCTACGTTATCTCTTCTGGTTCGTGATTTATTGGAAGATGACTGGAGAAGACAACATCTAACAGTAACAGTAGTTTACGTGTACCCGAGATGCTTCCAGTAAATTTTAAGCTCACCGACAACAAGCTTAATGGCTCCAACTACTTTGAGTGGAGCAAAACTATTCGTATCTATCTCCGGAGCATGAGAATGGCTTCTCATCTCACATCGGATCCTCCTAAAGGTAACGGTTCTGATTCATGGTTCCAAAGTGATGCTCGTTTGTACTTGCAAATTATCAATACTATTGAGCCTTCTGTTTCGTCTCTGGTTAGTCATTGTGAAGATGTGAAGGAACTTATGGATTATCTTGATTTCTTTGTATTCTGGACAAAGTAATATCTCTCGAATCTATAGTGTTTGCAAGTCCATTCATCGTGGAGAACAACAGGACTGATCACTCACTACGTATGTCATGGAGTTCAAGAAAGTGTATGAGGAGCTTAACTCTCTTCTTCCATTAAGTGTTGATGTCAAAGCCATGCAGACTCAGAGGGAACAAGTGGCTGTTATCAGTTTCTTGACTGGTTTGCGACTAGAATTTTTGACTCTATCAGATCTCAGTTCTTGAATGAGAATCTTCAGGCTTCTCAAACTTCTGATTGCAACAGTGCTCTGGTTGGTCGAGGGAGATTTCGTGGTGGCTACCGAGGAGGATTTCGTGGGGGTCACCGTGGTAGCTCTAGAGGTGGCCACGGTGACCGAACAACTGACTCACGGGCTACTATTCCAGATTTTGATAATGTTGAGTGTTACTACTACCATGAGTTACGTCACACCAAACGCACATGTAAGAAGCTTTTGGCCAGACATCCGAGGAGTTCATCGGCGCACGTTGCCTCTGCCTCAGATAGTACTGTTACTATATCCACACAAAAATATGCTCGACTTTTAGGGCCTGAGAATACCACTGCTCCGACTGCTGCATTTGCGAGACAGGTAACTCTAGTACATGCCTATTATCTTCTGCCTCCAAATGGGTCATTGATTCAGGTGCTTCAAATCACATGACAGGTAATCCCACCATCTTCTCTAATTTCAGTAAACACAAATTCCCATCACATGTCACAATTGCTGACGGGTCTACCACACCTGTCCTTGTCCTTGGTTCTGGCACCATCGATCTTACCCCTTCGTTATCTTCCGTATCGAGCCTACCTAATTTCTTGGTCAATTTGTTATCAATCAGCAAAATTACCCGTGCTTTAAATTGGTGTGTCTCATTCTTTCCTGATTTCTGTGTCTTTCAGGATCTGTCAACGAAGAAGATTACTGGTAGAGGGCAGGAGACTGATGGCCTATACATATTTGAACATCAAGTACCTTCCTCATTGACTTGTTCCAGCTCATTGTCTCCACTTGAAGTTCATTGTCGATTAGGTCATCCATCTTTACAGAATCTGAAGAAGTTGTGTCCTGAGTTTTCTTATTTACTTTCTCTATAGTGTGAGTCTTGTCAGTTTGCCAAACATCGACGTATTCATTTAAGTCCTAGAGTCAGTAATAAGCGGGCCTCATCACCATTTGAGTTAGTCCATTATGATGTTTGGGGACCATGTCTAGTTACTTCAAAACTTGGGGTTAAGTCCCACGAGCCTACTAAACCACCGATAGTTCATGTATATAATAAGCGGCAACGACCTACATCAGATCCCGACCCAACACCATCTTCATCATCGTCTGCAGATCCGCCTAATGATGATCCTCTTGCTTCGAGTGATCCACCACCTTCCGATACACAGGTTCCTGATCTTGATGTTCCCATTGTTCTTCGGAAAGGTAAGTGCTCATGTACTTACCCTATTTCTTCTGTTGTTTCCTATGATAAACTTTCTTCACGTTCTCATTCTTTGATCTCTACACTTGACTCGTTATTTGTTCCTAAAACGGTTGGTGAAGCTTTGGCCCATCCTAGATGACGGGTTGCTATGATTGATGAGATGAATGCTCTCGAGCATAATGATACATGGGATTTGGTAGAGTTACTGCAGGCAAAAAGGCAATTGACTGTAAATGGGTATTCACTGTGAAAGTTAATCCAGATGGATGCGTGGCTCGTCTGAAAGCCCGATTGGTAGCCAAAGAATATGCTCAGACTTATAGGGTCGACTACCACGAGACATTTTCTCCTGTAGCTAAGGTACCCTCCATCCGTCTGATTGTTTCATTAGTCGCAACTTACGCCTTGGTACTACACCAACTGGAAGTAAAAAATGCCTTCTTGTATGGTGATCTACATAAGGAAGTCTATTGCTCAGGGGGAGTCTGGTAGAGTCTGTAAACTGTGTAAATCATTGTATGGTCTAAAGCAATCCCCTCGTGCTTCGTTTGGACGGTTTAATTCCCTAGTGATTGAGTTCAACTTATGGAGGAGCTGTTATGATCATTTTGTGTTCTTTACTTCGTCATCATCCGGATGTATTCTACTAGTAGTATACGTTGATGATATTGTGATTACTGGGAATGATGAGACTGGGATCAAGAAGCTAAAAGATTTCCTTGCGTCTCGGTTTCAAACAAAGGACCTAGGTCCTTTAAAATACTTCTTGGGAATTGAAGTATCTCGTACTCGGAAAGGGATATGTTTGTCTAAACGTAAATATTGTTTAGATATATTGAATGACTTTGCATGATTGAAACAAAACCTTGTGAGGCCTCGATGATTCCAAATATGAAATTGAAAGCGGACGAGGGAGATCTACTTGAGGATCCAGAAAAGTACAGAAGAATCGTGGGAAAGCTAAACTACCTGACGATTACACGTCCTGACATCGCTTTTCCAGTGAGTGTAGTAAGTCAGTTTATGTCATCTCCGAGAACTCCACATTGGGACGTTGTTAGGCATATACTAAAGTACCTAAATGGTGCTCGTGGTCTTGGTATACTTATGTCAAAATCACAGTCATCATGTCATAGAAGGGTTCACAGATGCCGACTATAATGGGGATCCTACTACTAGGCGGTCTATGATAGGCTATTGTGTGTTGGTTGGAGGAATCTAGTTTCGTGGAAAAGCAAGAAACATAATGTCGTTTCCGGTCAAGTGTTGAATCTAAATACAGGGCTATGGCCCAAACCACTTGCGAGTTGATATAGTTGCGTAATCTGCTAGGTGAAATTGGGTTTGCTCAATCTAAACCAATGAACCTATATTGTGATAATAAGGCGGCTATCCACATTGCAAACAATCCCGTGTTTCATGAAAGAACAAAACACATCGAGGTTGACTGCCATTTCACTCGTGAAAAGCTAGAAGATGGAATTATCTGAACTCCCTTTGTTCGAACAGGAAGACAACTTGCTAATGTCTTTACCTAAGCATTACCTAGTTCGCGAATCTCTTTTATTTGTAACAAGTTGGGCATGATTAACATCTATGCTCTAGCTTAAAGGGGAGTGATAGGATGTAAATATGGTATATATTTACTTAGGCCCATTACGCCCATGGGCCCTTAGGGTTTCTCTTTTGTCTAGGTTTTCTGTCTAGCAGAAACGGGCACGTTGGTGAATCAGCCAGAATCCGGACGCGTGCCGCCTGCTAATGCTTCCCAGAGGGACGAACTTTCTTAGCGCGCTAGCACTTGGCTTCTACTAGAAAAAGGCAGCATTCAAACTAGATATCGGATGAAAGCGGTTAGTGCCATTTTTTGGGCAACCACCAAGATATTCGGGTCTTGAACCTTGTTATGGATTCTTTTTTGATTATTTGATTATTTATGTTATTTGAGACGCATATTTTTGAAAGTATAGTAGTTGAACTTGGAGTTTTTCCACCTTGATTGAATATTTTTCGTAATAAATGGAATATCTATATTTACTATGAGATCTATTTCAATTTTTGGAAGGTCAACTAATCTACTTTAACAGACTATATAGTAGCAATGCAACCAACATATGCATATTAGAGGTTAAATAGAAATACAATGATTATCTGATTAGACAAAGAAGCAAACTTATCATATAATTTGCATCAAATTAAATAAAGCATATAACGCTTCGAATTCTCATTGGCATGATATGCTTACATGATTACTGAGACAAAGCAATGGACTCACTGTCCTTCTATGCTTATCTTTCTTTGATATGTGAAAATTTGAGGACAAAATGTTATGCAACCACACATAAAAACGAGTTCCATAGAAGTGTAGAAATAGTACCGTAGCAATATCGATGCTGGTTACTCTAAGAAGCTCATCAGGACATACAAGATAGCCAAATAGGGCCCATTCTCTATAAGCCGTTACATTTGCCAAATCTTGAGCTCTCTGTAAGCAATAGAAACAGAATAAGTAATAGGCACGATATTTGTGTATCTAGGGCTGTAAACGAACCGAAAGTGAACCGTTCGTGAACCATTTGGCGGGAAGTTCGTTTATGTTCGTTTATTTAATAAATGAACGGACATGAACAAGTTTTTTTGTTCATTTAGTTAAACGAACGAACATGAACAAGAGTCTCGTTCGTTCATTTACCGTTCGTTTACGTTCATTTATATTCGTTCGTTTATGTTCGTTTATATATTAAAGTTAATGTATAATCTTTTATTTATTTACTTTGAATTCAAATAATATTTATTTGTTTAGCCCGTTCGTTTAGCCTGTTCGTTTATGTTCGTTAGTTTACGTTCGTTTAGCATGTTAACGAACGAACATAAACGAACACGAACACACTTGATTTCTAAACGAACGAACACGAACACAAGGATTTTCGTTCGTGTTCGTTCGTTTGTTCGGTTAAGTTAAACGAACGAACATGAACAAGCCTCCGTTCGTGTTCGTTCGATTCGTTTACAGCTCTGTGTATCTATAGACAGATTGATACAGAGAGAGAGAGAGACTTTGTGCTTATAAATTGAGAAGTAAGCAAAGAACTCTATTCTATATAAGAAAATCCACATCGAATGCTATCATATAGATTATTATGATTTCATCAAGACAGTACATAGTTATTCAAAATCAAGCAAAAAAAATGTGTACCATTGGATGTGCCGAGTTGGTGAGGATGTCCGGAAATCGAGGATGAAAGGGACTAAGAAAACCCTCATTTCTGAGCTTTCTTGTATCTGTAGACAAAAATATAATAGGACCCACAGCCTCCAAAACCTGCAAAACATGGGTTTAGCAAACTTGTAATTTAGTTCAAGAGATTGTAATTTCACCGACTTATTCAAGAAGCCATGCATTTTACTCGATACCTATGAAGAGTAGACACTTATGGGAACCTACATTGGAGTTCTATATGAACAGGCATTGCAAGGAAGAAGGGAAGGAAACATCTTGAAAAAAATCTTTTTGTTCAGTTTTATTTTAATTTACGAGAAAATTCATGTGAAAAAAATTGCCAGAGGTGCCCTCCTATACCAAAACGGCATCCTTTCTCATATGTCGAGAGATCAGAATTCCAACCCACTTATGCATTGTTATGTACATATAAAAACATAAGAATTGTGTTAATTAATATGACCCTTCATGTCCGTTTGACCACAAGCTGCGTTTTCTGAGGCCTTCCGCAGCTATGCTCCAGGCACCTTATGTAATACAGCTGGTGCTCACAGCTCAAATTCATCAAAAGGAATCAATAAGCAGAAGTATAACATAAACCTATGCAGACAGTTCTAGATTGTTCTAGAAGATAGTCATAAGCAAATAAGTAATTCCTACTAAATAGAGTTGAGAACCCAAAAGACTTATTTCACTGTAAGATTATATCAGCATCAAGAAAGACTAATGACCTCTCCAATGCGAGGACTAACGAAATTCAGGTCTTCATGCAACCCTTTCAATGGTGGATCATATGCATCTATGAATTGAACCAACCTGTTATTTCAGAAAAAAGGAATATATTAGCTTATATGAAGGCAAATTTAGTATTTGCATGCTTGCATTTTCAAATTCAATGTCATCAAGGGTATAAGATAGGTTTCTGCCTTCTCTAAGTATAACTATTTTGAATCAAAATCAAGAATTGGTTCTTAAAAGATCGTCGACTCGAGCCCAAAAATTAATCTTCACAATAATGCCGGTATGGTTTCCAAGTCATTGGCAAACGCTAGCACTCATAGAATGTTACCATGTTTCAAAATTGATGAGAATAAATGAAATAAAGTGCGCTAGTTGTTCCCAGCCTTTAAAAATGGTATAATTGGTAGATAACTATACCCTGAACCATATGACTTTTAACTGTACCTATAATAAAAATCACAGTCCCGGTCATTTCTCAAGATGGCATGGAAAAGGTTGTACATCTGAAGCATCATTTTCCTTGGCAACTGTAATGAAACCAGTATAGCAGATTTTTCAGTGAATAACAAACGAGCATGCATCCTGCAACTCTTTATACCTAGAAGATATGGACTACAAGCAAGATATCTAAACAATAAGAAAATATAGCTCATACATGGCCTATAGACTTGCCTTCTCAGCAAAGAGATTGACGCGAACAAACGAACAAAAGAGGTCCATAAAGGCATGTAAGATGAGAGAATTCTGATGGGGCTGCAAGGAGGAAGCAAATCCATGAAAATATAATTAGAAATACAAAAACAAACATGAGGATTAGAATTTCCATTAGTGATGATAAAAATATAATCTGATCCACAGCCACTGTTAGTTGTATATCAGTTCCTATTTTATCATACATCTGTGTATATCTAATGTATGGTGTTGTTACAGTGATAAATTCTTTTGTTTTAGTCAACACGAGCGATGATACAAATAATGTTATCTCTGTTCTTCTTCATGGATAAATCAAAACCAGTTCTAGGATTCTTTTAACAAAGATATATATAAGTAGATATTACAGTGGATAGCAGAACATATATTTCAACTCACCAACAAGGTAATGACAGTGCTGCTCAAATCCAATATGAGTCGCAGTGCTTGTTCTCGGAATGCCATCATATCAAGGAGTAGCTACAAAATTTGATACTTTTAAGAAGATATAAAATCATTTTTCACATAAACCTATACTCGCAAGTACCAAGAGCAAATAAAGAAGCAAATAAGAATCAATAGAAGATTAAAACAAAACAAAAATGTTAGGAAGAAAGTAAAAGATAGACCAGAATATTATCACTGTTTAGCAAAAGCCTTAACATGATGATGAAGTACAAGATAAAATTGGTAAGCAATATGCTATATCCTTTTCTTACACTGAGATGCCATACTTACCTTTATTCTAACATCTTCCTTTTTTAAATTTATTTAAATAGCAGTAAGGGTGCAACTATCAGATAGATGATTTTGATTTTGCTTGATGGTGACTTACATAAATAATACAACCATCTTCTATATCTCCCATCTCCATCATATCATTTTTCTCTTTATGTACTACTTTTGCAGGTCAATAGCCAGTTGACTTTAAGCATTGTAGATCTTTAAATCTTCCCTTTAGGAATGATGGCATTTAAAATGTTGATGATAGGAACCACATGTCTAGGGCACTTGCAATGTATTCTTCATCTGGTATTTCAAAACTACTGGATATTTAACAGCATAGGCATATATGCATGAAAGTATCGTCAGTTTAGTGTTTTTAATATTTACTGGGTGAACTTTGGGTTTCTATTTATCTCCTCTTTTGCTCACTAGAAGGATTCGAGTTTTAGCTTTATCTCTTTAAGCTTATGATCCTCATGGTGATGCCATGATATTTTATCCAAAAAACGAACAATCATTTGAGTCAAGAAGATGTTGCCTTTAGTTCATCATGGGAGATTCTCAAGAGATCTAAGAATTATGTGTGTGATGCTTAAAATCTCCATACCACTTCTGGTACATTTTCCACATTCTTCCTTGCAAACGTATCTTACATCAGTCGAAATGATACCGACCGATTGGGGGAAAATGAATGAATACTGCTCGAAATGACTTGGTTCTCTAACATTGACCTCCAATTGCTCGAATGGTAGGAGAGTTGCACCACCAAGGGTGGTGTCAGGAAAAGAAAACAAGCCGATTAGATATAACACACGAGTAACCGGAAACAGGAGAGCATGTAAGATAAAATCCACTTTTTCTAAGATTGGTTCGCTGCTCAATCAGGCAATGTGCAGGTAAGAATGATCGATGTCTCTATTGCAACTATTGTTGAGTTAGAGTAGAGCAGCAACTCTGTATGGCAGCTACCTTTATCCGGAGTCCAAAATCTTACCTCTCGTACAGTCGTACCAACTATTAGGAAGTAGATTGACCAAAACTTAAACTTCTGCAGTTTTTATAATTTACTAATTTCTTATCCACTTCACTGTATTTTTCATAAAGTGAAGAGCAAAGAAAATGGATTATGTTAATAAAAAAGATAAAGCTGTATATTTTGTTTCTGAAAATGTTCCTTTGGTGTAAGCAACCTTCTACTTCAGATACCCATAATCTGGTATCCTTGAAACTTTTTCCCACCAAAACTCAGCTACGCTTTTTCAAAATTCGCTAAAATCATCGGCTCTTGGTAGTCATTATTCAGGTATTGGGTGCTAAAATTTAGCCTGTGTTGCTACCATGATAGGCACAAGTGGTTTCTCGATTTCATTAACAAGAATACTCAATTAACATCATGTCTAACACACACTGATGCTTGACTTATCATTTCTTTGCATAGATGATCCATGGTTATCAGCAATCAAACTAAAACCAAAATAGCAGAGGATAATTTACTTTCCTAATCAAGCATGATGATCATGGAAATTAATAAAGTAAACTCCACACCTGAATCCATGGTTCCAAGCTTTGTAAGTGAATTTCAGCTTGATCATTTAAAGCATCCAAAGCAACCTTATCCACCTAAAAAAACTCATTGTCAAGTTTAGCTTTCCCAGCAGTTTAAAAAGAAATTTTAAAATGACATACAAATACTAATCTAATGCTTACACGTTCAAGCTGCAATTTACTATGATGTTCAGGAAACTTCTTTGACAGCAAGATACATATCTTTGGACAATTTGGGAAGACACCCGCTTTCCAAAACGCTTCAGAAAATACATGACCTGCTGAATCCGGATAATCCAGGACTTGATTCAATCTATAGATCTTGGCCATTAGTCCTTGTGCAACCTCAGTAAGCTGATATACCCATTGCATATTTAACCCCTTATGAGATACTCCAGGAAGCTGGAACGATACTTCTGACCCATTATTACGGGAGGTTCTAGAAGGCATTGGAGTGCCCATTTCTTGACTCAAGTATTCGCTCCATCTTGAAGGACCTTCAACCTCTCTCGCTCTGGGGGACGATGACAATGCTTCTTGTGTTGATAAGTTTAGTCTAGATTTCGGCATTTGCATTGTTCCAGTGTAATCCAAATCCAACCTATCTGCAATTTGATAGCTTGTTTTCAGAAAGCCTTATAGTCTGTTCTACATGCCCCTACATTTCAAACTTTCCAGCATCCAATGATAAAATGACGATGAAAATAACATCATCTCACAATCTTTTACATGACTGTCACTTCACAACCAACATCACCCTAGTATATTTGCAATAATATAGCACAATAAAATGCCACCTGCAGGCTAATCCGCAGCAATGGAGTATTTATCCGTTGTTTTCATTTTAATGTGAATTCATTCACAGATCTAATCCATGTTTACAGAGGAGGGTTAACCACCCTCCAATTTGGCAGTTTGTTTAAAAACAAACTAGAACAAGCAGATAGATAGGACCTCAGGTCTCCTTTTTTCCTCGGTAGAGAAAGTGAACATTCAATGCAATTCCAAAACTAGGGTTCAAACCCAGTTCATTTACACTTCACTACAGACATCAAATATATGGATTCCCTAGATCTTAGATGCTTACAATTGCATTGGTACTCGAAATTCTTGTATACCTTTTTTGATGAATAACAACCAAGTTCAAATATTTAACATTGTATTTGGGAACTCCAATTCCAGGGCATGGAACTTCCGTAAAAAATTGTGCCGATCTATTACCCATAATGATTATAATCAACAAATGAAATTACATAAAAGAGTGCGAATGGTACCTTAAAAGATGATAAATTTTCACAGACAAACCGGAAGTTAGAGCCACAAGGGAGGTCGAAAAATGGAGTCGATCAAGAAAAGTAGTGGAATTCAGATCTAGGTTTTTGAGAAAGATGAAAGTGGAAGTAATGGGTTTTAGGGAGTTATGATGATAATGCGATGATGAGGTTGTTGATGATATGATGGATTTGCGTTGTGCGCAGCAGTCGCTTCGATTTTCAGTTTGTCTGACGCCGACCAGCCGAACGCCATAGCCACCCTCCACTTCTTTCACTCAAGTCAAACTATTTTTCTTACAATAATTATTTATGAAAAAACAAAACAAATCCTCCCGTTGCAACAAAATAACATTTTTTTTAAACATAGTTTAAAGATGTATTTAAAATTTTATTATTTAAAGACACATCTCGATTTTAATGTTCTATTTTACTATTTGTCTCTGTCGATTTTATAATACGATTTTATGTGTTTTTTAAGAAAAATAATATTGATTTTATTTTTGAATAAAATATAAATTAAAAGATATCATAAAAATTTTAAAAAATATATATCAATGTTAATATCAATCAACTATTTAAAAGTTTTTATTTTTTTATGTAATTTTGTTAATTTATTTTTTTATTATAATTTAATTTAAGTTTAATGACGAAATAATTTATTTTTGGTTTAATAATATAACATTTATAAAGATAATAATCAAGTATTATGTTATTACTCAATGATTATCTTAATTATATATTTTTTAGATTTTTTATATTTAAAATGAGATGTTTATCATGTATTTGATTATGTTTATATGTAGTTAGTCACACGAATTCAGATATGGACCTTTAATAAGTTGTATTTATACACAATCTACTTGTAATCTTGAGTTTTAAGTAATATGCATTAATAAACAGTACTTTAAGCATAAAAAGTGGTTTTTAAGAGTTTTTGTCAAATGTTTTATAATATAGTATATATACATATTAAAAAAATTATAACTTGAAAATGAACCATTTTGATTAGGGGCGCGGCCACTTTAATAGATATCGTTTCGTTACTCCGTCGTAATGTAAAAAGTTATAAGATCTTGAAAGTTTCCTAGATCCGGGTTGAATTCCGTTTGTGTCGTTTTCGTTAGTTTTTAGCTTTTAATTTCATATTTATTATTTTTCTAAAAAATACAATAAAAACGTGAACACATAACCTCACATATGAAAAGTAAAGAAACTAATTTACAGACCAATTGATTATTTTATAAAAAATATCTATATTTTTATTTTTTATAATCAAATAGTACCACCATTTGAAAACATTTATAAATTCGTATCTGATATAAAAAACATGTTTAGAAAAAAGGCTTTATAAAGGTATTTATTTAAAACACATTATATAAAAAATATGTTTAGGGGTTGTTTGTTTACCTCTTAATAGTTCCATTAAGAGGCAAGCTCTGAATCGTTAAGAGTTAAATCTTGTTTGACAAAAAAAAAAGACTGTCTCTTAATGGTTCTAAAACCCTCTAAATGATTTTATATCATGGGTCTCTCTTAACCATTCAGCACCCTAATTCATTGTAAACAACTATCAAACAATTATATTTCATTTTGCACAATATTATGATAACCTTTTAATTATTTTGCCCACTTAATCATTTTATACTAAATTATTCAGCAAATGTCAAACAGCCTTGGTGGAATATAACCCAACTTTAATCATTACTATTGCGATTAATTGTTTCTTTCTATTATAGCAATAATTACTTTAAATATAACGCATATGTAATAATATTATATTATTCTAAAAAAATCTAGCAAAACGCTTTACAAAATTTTATTTGTTGATATCATGATACTGGTTAGATTTCAGTGAAAAAAAGTTAAAGTGAAAAACGTAAAAAATGCTCTTTGTTCTTAGATACACATTAGGATAAGATGCATCGAGATGAGATACACCAAGATGCATCGGATCAATCCCCGCATCAAGGATGATTCATGGGTGGGTTTGAGATCAAAAGTGTTCAATGATATCATTTTTACGTTTCTCACCTACTCTTCTTCTCACACGATCATTCGTCATCATGATATTGTTCCTAAAAAGGAAAAATATATGTTCTCCGTTTAATTAGCATGTAATTTAAGGTCAAATATCTAAAATGAATTTTTAATATTTAATTGAAACAAAACTTATTATTAAAATGTTCTTATATTTTATTTATCCATTTGGTTTGTCTTGCAAATACAACACTTCATTTATTAACAAGTCATTATGTGCAAAACTCGATCACACCTGAAATATCAACCCAAGAATGAGTTGATTTTGATGCTTAATCAGATATTGGCCTGACATAACCCCCCCCCCCTGGTCCAACCTTTCCCAGATATATGGGTTCGGGTTGAGTTTGCTAAGTTCCCAAACTAGTGATGGCCAAAAACCGGTCGTGGTCCCGATCGAAAATGGTATGACCGGTGAAGGTTCTTCATAACCTGTTATAGGCCGCCGGTTCCGACATTAAAAAATAAGATTTTAAAAAAAAAAATTAATGATATATATTTTTAATACATTATAAAATTTACAATTGGGTCACTCAAATACACTTTAAAAATACGTTTTAATATAATTAAAACTAGTATGGGAACCGCGCGTTGCGCGGTAGTATAAGTACTTTGATTAATAATCTGATGATTGTCTATATAAATATATATTAATTGTTAATAGAATCATCAACAAATCATATTCAAATAATTCGAAAAAGTTAAATAAAATATAGTTAGTGAAATTTTAATATACACACACATATATATATATTGAGAGAAAGATTTGTTTAGTAATAAAATTGTAAAACTAAATAAAATGAGTAATAATGACGACGGAAATATTAAGGAATCTGACACAAATTTAAGAATAAAAAATATAATCCACATAAAGATATGTCTCCTTCAAAGGATGATGTACATGTACTATTTTTCATCTTCAACACATACCTTGACTTTAAAAACA